GTGTGTGTGTGTGTGTGTTTGTGTGTGTGTTTGATAGATCAATGTTCTTAAGACATTGTAAACAAGATGAAGTTTTTAGGAATGAAATAACAGACGAATAATCCGGGTTAATATATTATAAACAAAAACATTGCCGATCCCATCATTTGCAAACGCACAGATTCATCGACAGAAACTACCTGTCAAATACAGTTTGTATAATATGTTGAAAAAAACAAAACAAAGTAGGTGGTTGAAGGGTGTCACTGGTAGGTCCTACTTCTTTCCTTTCCCCTCTGTTGTTTCTGTCTGTGTGGGTGGTTGGAGGGTGTCACTGGCAGGTCCTACTTCTTTCCTTTCCCTCTGTTGTTTCTGTCTGCCTGTCTTACTTTTCCCTAGCACCAAATGACCATTACTGTATCGATGTGCTTCTCTTTACTCAAACAAACAATCAAACAACAAAAACAACACACAAACAAGCAAACAAACAAACAAACAACAAACAAGCTAACAAACAAACAAACAAACACATATTCTCCCATTTCCCCAGACGACAACAGTCCAGAACCCGAGGACACAGAGACACTTCTGGAATTTGAGCAGCTTCTTGTTGTCCCCGAACTCACATCCGCGAAGCAACATCCGCCCACGGCTTTCAAAGATAGCTCCGCGAAGCAACAGCATCAGCCCACGTCGCTGAAAGACAACACAGCAAAGCAGTACTCACCCGCAGCCTCTGAAGACAATTCCGCGAAGCAACAGCTATCCGCAGTCCCCGAGGATGAATCTATAAAGGAACATTCACCTGCAGCGCCCGATGATGAATCCACGAAGCAAATTTCATCCACAGTCGCCAAAGACAACTCCGCGAAGCAGCTTCCAGCAACCGTCACCAAAGACAACTCCGCGAAGCAGCTTCCACCAACAGTCACCAAAGACAACTCCCGCACTCGGCTTCCTGACGTAATGTTCGTTGAGGACAACTCTACAAGACCATCTGCCCCTCACGGTACGTCGACTTTTATCATCATCATTATTGTCATTATTGTCATTATTATTACTTTTATTCTTCTTCTTCTTCTTCTTCTTCTTCTTCTTCTTCTTCTTCTTATTTTTATTATT